TCTAAGGTTTTTAGCCAATAGTTAAAGTGGACTGAGAGACAGGCTGTCATAATGCCTTCTTATTATGGCCTTTGCGGTACACCCACTCAGTGGATTATGTGTCGACCACTTGCTTGTGGAGTTAAATGCGCAGACCAAAAAGTGTGGTGACACGCCTAGCTGCGGGTTCCCGCCGCGCCATCCATCTACCTATGGTTCTTAGGACATTGTCTTGGTGCCCGAGCCTAGATAAGAAAGTATGTGGTAGAGATTGCGCAAGTCTCCTATCACTGTAAGTAAATCACGCGCAAGTCACTGCCCCTGCATTCGCCATGCTGTGGAGTACATGATGAACCTCGTCGTACTCGGCGCTTGAACTGTTTTCTGACAATTTGTTGGCTGCTCTTATGCCGCCGGATGCTGAGATCTAAAAATGGAGTGTTTGTGCCCACTGCAGTTGGCAGTAAAGTTTTTCGCAACTTTCGAAACCAGAACAAGTAAGGTTTTTTTAAGTTTGTCTATTGATTTCAATGACGCAGTTACATCATCACATTTTTTCATTTGCTTTTTTGAATTTTTAGTTCATCGAAATCGTTGCTCCCGACAAGTATACGAATATCTTTCTCATTGGGTTCCTCGTAACTCTTGCTATACTACCACTTACTCAAATAACAAGCATGCGTATCTTTGCGTTAATGTCTGCGATCGCCATCGGAGTCACGGTGATCGGTCTTGCGTTGATTTTTGCCTACTTGCTATCTACGGGCCTACTTGACCCACACAATCTGGCGTGGTACAAACCGTTTGACGAAATTCTCGTCGCACTAGGGATATTCATTTTCACCTTCGAGGGAATCAGTCTCGTAAGTAAACTGATTTTTTAATGTTATCTTTTCAGGCATCCGGAATGCGGATGCTTTACATTTCGTGCCTCTACTTCATGCTTGATTAAAGGACATTGGACATATGTAAACCCAAATTTGTATTGCACATGTTCAGTACATTTGTAACTTCTGGTCCCGAATTCGTACCTAGGGCCGGTAGCAATAGCAGGCTAATAAATATCAACCACTCCATTTTCTGAGCCATTTCTCACATCACTGTCCACATATATATAAGCCCCGTCGTCTCGCTCCTTCAATTCGTAGCGTGTCCCGGCAGGTTCACGTTGACTCGCCTTTGCAATTTTTGGCCTCAAGGTATCATATGCCGGATGAGATTTTTGCAGGAGTTGATCAATCTTTTTAGCACTAAGATTACTAACTCAAAACTGACATCGTGGTAGTACACGTTAAGACTGCCCTCGGCCATTCAGTCAGTGTACATTCACCAACATTGGGGTTACTTTTTTAGCCTTCATCGACAACCTCATGTAAGTCGAATAAAATTAGCAATGGAAATCTTCTATTCTCCTTATTTGCAATGTTCAAGTGCTGCACAGATGCATGCGGGTAGCTGTTTGTGAATAATATCATAGGCAATAGATTATCCGCTATGATCTTTCTTCGAGAACTGTGCGACGTAAATGCTACGGAGTTTCCGCCCGATTATCAGGTTGGCTGCATTCGGATTCAGAGCATGTTAGTCTGCAAGGATACCCACTGCGGCATTCAATCTACGGTTCTGTAGATATAAGGAACGTCCCTTCTTGATGAAGTTATATAACGAAATTGTTTACTGTGCTAGTGAAACGTGCTTCACCA